TCCCCCGCCTGCGAGTCGAGGATCAACACCGCGAGTTTGCGGTGCTGCGCGAGCGCGACCCCGAGCGCGGCGGCCCCCGCGGCCCCCACCCCGGTCGTCCCCAGGTCGAGGTGGGTGAGCTGCGGGAGTTCCCCGACGAGGCGGGCGACGACCTCGCCGCCCGCATCCCGCAACGCGTTGCCGCTCAACACCAGCCGGGTGAGGGGGCTCCGATGCAGCAACCCCGCCAGGCTGCGAATCGTGTTCACGCCGAGGCGCTGCCGGCGCAGCACGATCTGCCGCTCCGTCGCGAAGCCGGACTCGACCATGTCGGTGAAGAGCTGCTTCGTCTCCTCGCTCGGCTTCTCGAAGATATCCCGCAGCCAGGAGGAGTAGACGTCCCCGAAGAGCTGCTCACGCGTGATGCCGAGCGCGCCAAACATCGCGAACGGGACCGCTTGCCTGCGTCGGATGCCTTCTGCGAGGGTGCACGGAATGGGAAAGGAAACAGACCGCGAAACAAACAAACAGAACAAAAAAAAAGCCCTTCGATGTGTGGGGAGAACAATTCTCCGATGCTATACCCTATCGCGATGGAATCGAACCCAGACGGACGAGGAGGAAGGGGAAAGGGGATCACATCCGTTCATACCAAACTGCCCCTCTCTCTATCGAAGTGGGGAATAAGCACAGCTACCAGCAAAAGGTCGAAATAACACGATAGAAAGTGAAAAATAGGGCAACCGGAGTTTGTAAAGAGGTCGAAAAGAAAATGAATACGCAGAATACAAACCACTATCCCCGCCACGGGGATCAACAAAAGGCTTAGACCTGCCCATATCGTTAGAACGTCTCGACGTTAAACACCCCAAGCTCTAAATCATAGCGAAAAGTGCTCATACCACTTTCAATAGCACCCAACCCTTCGATAGCCTCGGCGTTCGTGCTTTTCAAAATGAAGCGTTCAATAGTAAATAGGAAGGAATACAACGATATCTAGATTCGTCCACGAGTGTTTCCTTTTCTCGCTGCCGTTCGATATTCGTGTGAAATCGAAAATAAACCTAATCAGCGAAAACGAACCAGAGGCGTTGTAGGCAACCCTCTCCTCTGTGCACGACAGGTGACTCCATCGCACTACACATTGTTATTTTTTTTTTGTGAGTGTGTGTGTGAATGTATGAAATCGGGGCTCATTCATGCATTCTTTCCTTCTCCAGCATCTCCTGATCGCGCGGCGTGATTCCCATACGACGTCGCACATACCGCTCCGTGGATTGCGGCGTCATCATCACCGTATGAGTGCGGATGGGCCCGAGCTGCAGCTTCACATCCTTCCGCTCCGGGGAGGGCAGATGATGCTCCAGACGACGAATCTGATCCTTCTCGTTCAGCGAGAAGTCAATCATCGGGGGCAGCGCCAGCTCCGTTTCGGCCAAATCCAGGTACGATAGCTTATCCAGGCGGAGATGAGGTGGCAAGTGCACATTACTGGGGAAGGTTCCCGCTTCCAGACGCTGCTTGTATTCCCCCATCATCACGAGGTAGTTGCAGCGGCTATAGGTCGTGTTAAAGCCGCTGCGGCGTAGAACCAACCACAGCATTGCGACGGACGTGATGCCAGCGACTAAGGCGATAACGAAGCTGTGATTGCGAAACCTTGAGTAGTACATGACTCTTATCTGTTTTGCATACTAAATCGTAAAAAAAAAGGCCGACGAAGAATGCATCTAATGCTAATTTTGTAATCAAAGAATTGCAAAAAGAGAAGGGAAAATACGTTGGATGATAGAAAAAGGGGTACAAGTTACAAAAAAAAGAATTAAAATGATGAATACGCTCCTGTGTTTCATGATTGTGCGGTTCATCTCAAGCAAAAATCACAGGTTTGGGTTTTTTTTATCCCAATCTATTGTCGCTAATAATAATAATAATAATAATAAAACATAGAATCAAAATAATGCAATATTTACTATCGCAACTGTGATATTGAGGTGATTGCAACCTCTCATCTCTACAAAAAGAAGAATGGAATAGGATATGCATTAGTGAAAACGCCGCTAATCACAGCCAACTGAAAATGCAGATGGATAAGATCGATATACATATAGTATAGCAGAGGTAGCCCTCCCAGATCAACGCTACAGTAAAACCAAAGAAAGAAGAAGAATAAAAAAAAGAGAGAAAACAAAACTAAACAAAAGCAAACGAAAACGGATCAAACGCCCCTCCTACGTGATCCGCACCTCCCACAAATCCTGCAGCTGAAACCCCTTCCGCAGCTTTTCCACCGCCAATCCGATGGATTCGTCGTATACCGGCCGTCGATCCGCCACTTTCTGCCCTTCGTCGGCGAAGTAAGCGAAGAAGGCGTCGTTCGGCGGCGCGGTCGCCCTCCCCTCCCCAACAGAATCGCCATCCTGTTGGGGACGAGGAAAGGGGGAGGAATGAAGCTCGCCGCCCTCGCCCCCCGTCTTCGTCTCCTCCCCCTCCCGCTCCTCGTCCGTGCCCACCCGCGGCGCCGCCCGCCACCCCTCCCAGAGGCTGCACACCTCCCGAAAAAGCTCCGTCGCGCGGGCGCGCGATTCCACGATGAAATCGAACTCCCCGGGCGGCCCCCCGGCGTCGGCCGTGCGGAGCCGCAGC